GTTCAGTTAGGTCCTGATTCAGCTGCTGGTGCTGCCGGAACTGATGCTCTTTTAAATGGGCTAGAAATTTTCAAGATTAGTCGAAATGGGAATCTGGCCTATGTAGAGAGATATGGTTCAGCTAGCAATTCATCTAGTAAATCAAAAACGCGGATTCTTTGGTTGGGAATTGGAGCAGGTCTAGCTTCTATTGCCATAGTTACATTAATAGTTGCTCTGTTTTTCTGGTTTTGCAAAAGAAGCAGGAAAACAACCAGTGATACCAAAAGCAATGCTCCAGGTTGGCGGCCATTGTTTCTTTATGGTGCCACTGTGAACAGCACTGTTAGTGCCAAGGGTTCAGCAGGATTTCAGAATCCATATGGATCAGTGGCAACAACACGACTTGGTAAGCGGTTTACACTAGCAGAAATTCGTGCTGCAGCAAAGAATTTTGATGAGAGTTTGATAATTGGGTTAGGAGGCTTTGGTAAGGTGTACAAGGGAGAGATTGATGATGGGGTCCCTGCTGCAATTAAGCGAGCCAACCCACAGTCTGAGCAAGGTCTGGCTGAATTTGAGACGGAGATTGAGATGCTCTCCAAACTCAGGCACAGGCATCTGGTGTCCCTGATTGGATTCTGTGAAGAGCAAAATGAAATGATTTTGGTTTATGAGTATATGGCAAATGGTACTCTCAGAAGTCATCTATTTGGGAGCAATCTTCCACCATTAACTTGGAAGCAGCGCCTAGAAGTGTGCATAGGTGCTGCAAGAGGACTCCATTATCTGCATACAGGTGCAGAGCGTGGAATAATCCACAGGGATGTCAAGACAACCAATATACTGTTAGATGAGAACTTTGTAGCTAAGATGTCTGATTTTGGGTTGTCAAAAGATGGTCCTGCTTTGGACCATACTCATGTCAGTACAGCTGTGAAAGGAAGTTTTGGTTACCTAGACCCTGAGTACTTCAGACGACAACAGCTGACTGAGAAATCAGATGTGTACTCTTTTGGTGTGGTGTTGTTTGAAGTTGTTTGTGCCCGAGCTGTGATAAATCCTACATTGCCTAAAGATCAAATCAATCTTGCAGAATGGGCAATGAGGTGGCAGAGGCAGAGATCGCTTGAAACTATCATCGATCCACGTCTTGCCGGAGGCTATCATCCTGAGTCCTTGTCTAAGTATGGAGAGATAGCAGAAAAATGTCTTGCTGATGAGGGGAAGAACAGGCCCACAATGGGGGAGGTGTTGTGGCACTTGGAGTATGTTCTTCAACTCCATGAAGCTTGGTTGAACACTAGCACCAGAGAAGCTTCATTCTCAAGCAGCCAAGCCTTAGGAGGAGTGAAAGAGGGAGAACCAGAAGAGATACAGGAGCCATTGGCTAGTGCAGTTGAAGAGAATGGCTTGGCCACTAGAGGAGTCAGAGAAACGGATGCTGCTACTTGAGTTCTTTCTATGAGTACCATCAAGGAACAGAGACAGTTTAGTTTGTTGATTCTTTCAATTTGTTTTATTAAGATTAAGTTGTTTATTATTATTTGATATATATTCACTTCACATGGTAGTGAAAATGGATAAATTGTGGACCTTTTGTGTCGAAAATCCTAACCCTGTGATGCTCTTCCCTTGTAGAGTTGAGTCTCAATTATGTTTACTTAAATCTCTTCACAAAGCTTATCACAAATTCACAGCCCTCTGTTACGTTACTTATGTACGGGTGTGGCTTGTAACTGGTAAGGTCCGAAAATTTGGACAATTATCTATTTATGTAAGTGTTCATAAATAAATTGAAAAATTTGAGTGGTGTAGAAGTAAAGTCATTAGTTGAAAATGTGTAGTTTGGTTACATGTACGAGAAAATTATGCCCCCATGAATGCGCTGTGTAGCCACGAGCAAGTCCTGAAAGTCAACCCATGACTCGTAATAATTTCTAAAAATTGAAGGGCGTGATGTAACGTCAAATCCTGAAAATAATTACGATTTTTTGATCTTGCTTTAAAATCTTAAGATGTAAAGTTTAGATATAATTTTTCTGGTTGTGTGAAGCTTATGAGAGAGATATATATATATATATATACTCCTCCGGTCCTTAATATAAGACCTATTTAACTAATTTGATTAGATTAAAGAAGTTAGGTAAGTTAGTTAATTATAAGAAAAGTGACATATTTTTCCAAAAACATCATAATCATCTTTCTTAATACCCCCTCTTTCTCTTCTATTTGATTATGGTTGAAGGAGTATCTATAGGGGTAATTTAGAGAAAATTGATAAATATGAGAAATGGGTCTTATATTTAGGATTAAAACCAACTCAAGAATTGGGTCCTATATTAAGGACCGGAGGAGTATATATATATTGGTTAGGAGCTTATGAGATACTACCTCCGGTCCTTAATATAGGACCCCATTTGACTTTTAGTTTGGTCCTAATTATAAGACCCCAATCCATTTTTTCTTTCATATTTATGCGTTTTTTTCCCAAGATAGTCCTTCTAATAATGATAGTTCTAACTAACACACTTAATTAGCAATGATATTTTAGGAATAACAACACTTATTTGTTACAAATAACTAACTTAACTTACTTCCTTAATCTCCTCAAATTAGTGAACTGGGTCTTCTAATTAGGACCGGAGGTAGTATTTGTTTGTGAAACATCACGTTCGGCGTTTGGCTTTACATTGAGATTGAAAGATGGAAGCATTTACAGTGTTTCATTTCTCATAAAAGTACTTTTTAAAAGTATTTTATACAAGTTGAGATAAAATTCTTTTAACATATTTATTTTAAAATTATTTTTAAAATCATGATTTAGTTTTCATATAAATACTTTTTAGATCAACTTCACTCAAATTTTCCTTTTCCTTGATTGTTCAGCAAGGGCTCTTTTAACTCTTTTCCTTTTTAGGGTGTGTTTGGGTGACACCCCAAACCATGGTTTGGGGACCCAAACCATGGTTTGGAGATTAAGTCACCCAAACACCCATCCAAAAACCAAAATCATGGTTTTTGGTCAAAACCATGGTTTTGGCTTCAAAACCATGGTTTTGGAAAAAGCAAAATTTTTTTGCTTTTGGAGAAAAAAGGGAGAGTGTGAGAGCCTATAAGATATGTATCTTGTTATTTTTTTTATAAATATATTTTTTATAAACATATTTAATATTATATTTTATAAATATATATACATATTAATTATTTATTAATTATATTATCTTATGTATTATTAATTATGTTGGTAAAAAATATATTATTAACAATTTTATTCCTTCAAATTAAAATATATCATAAAATCTATTTTTTCTGTAATTATCATATTAACTTATGTCTTTTTTTTAGTAATTTGTATATATAAAAAGTGCTTCTGATAACAACTATCTAAACACTCTCACTTCTCAGAATCACTTTTTTACAAAATCTATTCTCCCCAGAATCTATTCTCCCCAGAATCTATTTTTCAGAATCACTTTTCCAAACCACGGTTTGGTTTCATCCAAACACACCCTTAACCTTGTACCCTCTTGAAACTAAAGTTAGCTCATTTCTTTCAAGTATGTAGTTAATTTCATATTAACTACCAAAGTACTCCTCTAATATTTAATATAAGACCTATTTAATTATTTTGATTAAATTAAGAAAGTTAGTTAAATTAGGTAACAATAATAAATGTGACATATGCTTTTCAAAATACCCTCAGTTAAAACTTCTTTAAAAAATTAGCATTTCAAAAAATATTTTAAATTATTTTATTAAAAATATAAAACGGTAGAATTGATGTATGTGTGGAATTAAATATTAATGAGTAATAAATACTCACTCACTTTATAAAATATATAGGTGTATTATTAATGAGTAATAAGTATTATTGTGGTATTTAATTATTTGATAGGGGTAGTTTAAAAAAATTCATAAATATGAGAAATAAGTCTTATATTTAAGACTAAGATTAACCTTCTAATTAGGTCTTATATTAAAAAGCGGAGGAGTATAAAAAAAGAACACCAAAATCTAGTTTTACCCTCAAGTATTAAACCGCCAGGACTATGTGTGGGAACATGTGCAACAATGTGAATAATGTCACAAGACTCTATGTAATGTATGATGGACAGATAATTTTTTTTTTCTTGACCAGAATGATGGATAGATAAATATATATCCTGGTCATTATGAAAATCTTGCACATTGCGAGATGGATGAAATATCATTGTTCAGTGTTCGCCCAAAAAAAAAGAGAGAAATATTACTCACGGTTTTAACATAAGAGCTAATTGTCTAGTTTAAATAAATTAAAAAAATTAGTTAATTTAGTTATTTGTAATAAATACGTATTGTTTTCCTTAAAATATCTTTATTAATCATGTGTATTAGTTCGAACTATATCATTTGATAAAACTTTTAATATGTGTAACTACCTAAAAAATGAATAAATATAAAAGATAAAATGAATTGAAATCTTATATTTATAATCAAATTAAATATCAAATTAGTTTTTATATTAGGTATAGAAAAATTTAGCATAATTGTTCCGAACTTGGATGATATAACGGATAAATATATGTTTTCGTGCTTTTTTTTTTTTTTTTTTACCAGCATATGTTTTCGTGTTTATATCACCATTCATGTTCACAATACATATAACATGTGTACAACAGGAAGCCTACTTACACATTAGTGTTTGATAAGGAAACGCAAGAACGTAAAGTACTCCAGTTATCAATGAAAAATAAAGGATCAGTTTAACAAATCATTTTTCTCTTGCCAATTAACAAATAAATTTAAGAAAACCTACTTTTTAAATTAAATTATTCATATTCAGACCTTTTATTTTTATTATTATTATTATTTTTTCGGGGGAAACCCAGATGATAAAGGATCTGGTATATACTGTTAATTTTGTAAATTACTTGAATGAATATTTGCAGCATGAAAAACTATTTTCTCAAGTGCGATCCAAGTTTAACAGTGGCAGGCGATGATATATTCCTAGCCGCAGCCACGGCTATGCTGCTCCACTGGCAATACCCTGCATACAAAACCCTACGGAGCTTTAGCTCTTTTCTTCATCAGTCTCTCTGACGCACCTGGTGATCGGAATCGATCCCTGTACTCAATTCTCTTTTTGTGGGTCTGAGATAATGCCGCCCAAAGCTGCCAAATCGAAGGAAGCGCCGGCTGAACGTCCCATCTTTGGTCGATTCTCGTCGCACCTCAAGATTGGCATTGTATGCTTCTTTCATTTTTTTTTTTTTTTTTCCATTCCCCCTTCCGCTCCCTTGCTCTTAATGGACACGGGTTTCTTGTTCATCTTTCAAGACGTGTTCTTTACTTGCGAAATATAAATTCAGTTGGGTAATTAAATTAGGTTCACGAATCTTTTCTATAATTTTAGGTTCATTTAATCAATCAACATTGCCATTTGCTTCTCTATATTCATTTCATTTATATATTTTTCTTAACTTGAATATTAGTGACTTAAAGTAGAAAGGGCTTATACTTGACTAATTCAGTTTAAAAACTTCTGCTCTCAACAACCAAGCTGGTTTCCTCGCTTAGCTTCATGAATTTTTATGATATGATTGGCTCTGTTTAGGGAAGTTACACGCTAATGTAAGGGGAACTTTTCCCTGATTCTTCAACTATAATCAGTCTGTGAACTTAAGAAATTATCTATCCGGAAACTCTAATTAGTTGGTCCCCCCCCCACCCTTTTGTGGTATTCAGGTGGGCTTGCCGAACGTTGGCAAATCTACTCTTTTTAATACGCTTACAAAGCTGGCCATACCTGCGGAGAACTTTCCCTTCTGCACCATTGAGCCTAATGAGGCACGGGTCAATGTCCCAGACGAGCGCTTTGAGTGGCTTTGCCAATTGTACAAGCCAAAAAGTGAGGTATGCGCCCTAGTCAAACCCATCAGAGTCTGTGGTCAAGTCATGAATTACTTGGAATTGAGATTTTAATCATTTCTTATCTATGAATTGGCCTATCATTTATCATGACAATTTAAAGTTTCCATACAGGTCTCGGCTTTCTTAGAAATCCATGATATAGCTGGATTGGTTCGAGGTGCCCATGAAGGGCAAGGATTAGGCAACAGTTTCTTATCTCACATACGTGCAGTAGATGGCATTTTTCATGTTTTGAGTAAGATTTCCAATTTAATTGTTTACATTTCTAACCGTATTGCATCATTGGTGAACGTAATATTGGGTTGGGAATCATAACTTTTGTTCCTTGCCATTTGTTAGGGGCATTTGAGGATCCAGATATTATCCATGTAGATGATTCTGTTGACCCAGTGCGGGATTTAGAGGTTATTACTGAAGAGTTACGGCTGAAGGTATGCTTGTTTACTTCTGCATTTTTCAGGGAGGGAATGGTCTCTGAAGTAAACAAATCAAATCTTAAAACTAAAAAAGTGGATATCATTATTAGCGGCTAATTACTTAAAATTTTAAAACTCATATTTCTTTGTGCTGAAGGAGGCTTTATACAATGACATGCCACATGCAAATGCTAAATGGACAACGAAGAAAGCTTTATAATTCAGCTTGCCAATACAATGGAGTAAGGACACGAGAACACAAGTAAAGGTTGAGTAGAATTCAGGGACATAGAGTTTCCCAAAATTAAAAAAAAACAAAGAAAAAAACTATCTTGTTATCCATATCCTTATGAAATGCTTTCTGGTTGAGTAATTCCAGGTTTCTGCTCAAACCAAGAAGTATTGATGCTAACATAAACATGGGGCAGGACCAATCCAACACTGTGACAAGACTGGATATAAAGTGTTTAAATTCAATTTGTAGTGTCGAGTCATAAGTGATTCAGGTGTTTGATGATAATTGGACATGAGATGACTCTGTTTTTGAAGTTCCATTGCTTCATAAGCTCAAATCAAATAGTTAATTCAAGCAACCTGGAACGGTCACTGAGCTCTCCGTCTCTCAGGAGACCCAAATCTCCTGTGCAGACAAGCCACAGATCTATAAACAGATTATGGCACTGGCTCAGGACAATGATTGTATGATAATCTTGCAAGCATTAAATTATTTTACCATACTGCCAATGATAGTCTCTCTGTCAGTGTGCCAATCCCTACTCTTGGTCCAGAAGCTGCTGATAAAGTGATAAATCCAAATACAAGCTCAATTTAATTATAGGGAGAGATAAGATAGCGGGATCTAAGACTGAATTTGAACTTACAACTGTAAACGCTTCATTCAATTTCCTTTCCAATTAATTTTGACATTAAATACTTAATACTTTAAGTATATGAAGCCAAACCGTGTATATTGTTCCACCTTCTATGTATAGATCACTTGCAAAAAGCAGTTCTGCTAGCACCTATGTAAACTCAAATATGTATTAAAGGAGCAGCTTCCCCTGCCTAGGCATGAGCATAGATGTTGCTTATGGTCCCGCTCAGGTGTCAGAGAATGCTCGATTAGGTGTGTTTTACTTATAAGGAATTGGGAATTATATATTAATTGTAAGATGTTGGTCAATATTATCTTAAAAGTTATGATGCATCTGTATCGACTAACTTGTCTTTTAAGAAGTTTTTTGTGCACTATAATATAGCCGCTGATGTAATCTTCTGAATCTTGCTTTTTGTATCACATTTTAGGATATTGAATTCATAGACAGGAAGATAGAAGATCTTGAAAAGAGCATGAAGAGGAGCAACGACAAGCAGTTAAAAATTGAGCATGAATGTTGTCAAAGGGTATAGATTCAGCCCCCCCCCCCCCCCCAAAAAAAAATTTTTTAATCATTTTTTTAAACAGTTACCTCTACTATTTGTTTCAGTTTTTTTTTTGTTTCTGTTTATTTTAACTTACGCTATGGTATGTGCTTGTCGGATGTTTCTATTGTTGCACATATGTTGCTATTCTTGCTATCTACTCAATATATTTGTTTAGTTTTGTACACCCAAGCAGCCAAGATTGTTAATTCACTCTTGGTTTTCTTCCCCAGTAGTATGATTTTTTGTCGCACTTTCTGTTTTATGGCTTCCTTCTTTTGGAACGTTTTATTTATTACTGCACAACAAGCAATTATTTGTAACCGAGTCTTTCAGAGAATTTTTTTTTAAAGTTATAAATTGAGACATTTTCTGCATAAAAATGTTATATATGTTAGATCAATAGAAAACATTTTCTTTTCTGTAGTTGTAATAAATCAAAATGCTTTTATGAAATGGTTTCATAAAGCTATTGGAAAAGTGATGTGTAATACAATTGTATGCTATTTGTGTGTTATGTTTGTGCACGAGATGGGAGTGGAAGGTTGGTTAGGTGTGCGTCTCAACATTTCTTCATTTGAGATTGCTTTTCTCCATTTCACTTCTAATATAGCATCTATAAATGAAATTGAACATGTCTTAGTGGTCGTCTGTTTATGTGAAATTCTTCATGGTAATATGTGATGTAAAGCCAATATTATTCATAATTTGTGGCCCATGATTATAACTTTGAGCTTTGCAATAATACATGGAGTGAACATTTTTGTGTGACTCGAGTTGAGTCTGCATTCTGTCTATTGTCTTACATGGTTATTATGTAGTCTCACTTCATCTCTTACTGGGATCTCTTATGTTCATTATTTGCGCAAACCATTCTTTTAAATCCAAATTGGATTGGAAATGTTGGATGACAGTTCTTATTGTCTACAGGTCAAGGCATCCTTAATGGAGGGGAAAGATGTACGACTAGGGGATTGGAAAGCTGCTGACATTGAGATTCTGAATTCTTTTCAGTTGCTCACTGCCAAGCCAGTTGTATACTTGGTATCTTCAATTTTAGTTTCTTTCTTCACCTCATTAAAATAACAAATGTTAGATCTTTGTTATGACAAACAATGTGTTTCTTTTTTAAATTCTTTCAATGTTTTCTTACGTATTTCAATGGGGTTTAACAAGATGAGTACAATTTTTCTGAAATGTTAACGAAGAGAGACTTTTTTTTAGTATTCCGGTTGACTATCTAGGAAAAATATCTTGTTTCGTGTGATATTATTGCTGTATCTCTGTGTATTGGTGTAGGAGTAAATATCATAACTCCATGTTGGTGTTTAACGTTATTTTCTTAAGATCTATTTATTAAAGTTCTACCTGTTAATACCTACGGTTTATTTGCAGGTTAACATGAATGAGAGAGACTACCAAAGAAAAAAGAACAAGTTTCTTCCAAAAATCCATGCATGGTATGCATGCCTTTGTGTTGTTACATGGTTTTATTTATTTTGACCTTTTATCTTCAATATCAGATGGCATTCACGTGTGGTTGCTGATAAAGTGTTATTATTTTGATGTTATTTCTCTCTGTGTGTGTGTGTGTGTGGAAGTAAATTGACTTATGCTTGTCGGCTTTCCAGGGTCCAGGAGCATGGTGGTGAGCCAATTATTCCCTTCAGCTGTGTCTTAGAAAGGAATCTTGCTGATATGCCTCCAGATGAAGCAGCTAAGTATTGTGAGGAGAACAAGGTTCAAAGGTTTGTTGAAAAGTTTTACTTGTCTTCTCATTGTTAAACAAAACTAGTCACATTTTCCTTGCATTTATACAGGGTTTGAGTATCAGCTGCGCTGTTCATGGCTTATGAATAGTGTGACTTGTCATAGATTTGTATTTGATTATTTTAATATATTGATGTGCAAGAATTATCATGCATATAGTTAATCATTTGGGAATAAATGTGAAAATATAGTGCTTTATTTTTAAAAAAAAAAAAAAGAAATCTCTGTGTATCTCTTGAACTTATATTTATTTATTTTTATAGAATGATTTTGTCAGCCTTATAAACTGCATAGATTTTGTCAGAGTGAGACTTGATGCTGACATCATTTGAAAACAATGGAAAGAGCGACATTGTGATCTTGAGTCTTTATTTGGACAGCCAGACCAAGAGCTTATTCTGATTGTTATAAAGAGTTGACGTCTAGTCTTTATGCTACTAAATACTAATCTAGTACATTTCTCTGTTGTAACAGCGCCCTCCCCAAAATCATAAAGACCGGATTTTCTGCGATTAATCTTATTTACTTTTTCACAGCAGGACCTGATGAGGTAACATATGTTCTTTGATACTTTGAGATATTACTTCCGTGATATTTACCTATCTTTTTCTCTTTTTTTTTTTGAACTATAGTTCTGATAATTTCTGTGTCCATCGGTGTTGACAATAAACCATACATCTTAAGTAGCTGTTTTACAGTTTTCATAATATAACCATCTGATTAATCTCCTGTTATGCATAACATGCTCATTAAATTTGTAGCATTAGATATTTGTTTGCTCTTTGCCAATGTGATGTGTGGGGCTCATTATAAATTACTCCATCTTGTCTCAAATATAATCACCAACACCTACCACATAGATGTTAAGAAAATTAGTTAAAAGGTCGTTATTTTTGGGACCTACAAAACTCTTTAACAAGTGATGCATTTGAGACTGGAGAGAGCGTTATATTATATATAAGCAATATGTACTCCCATTTTGCATGCACTTAAATTTCTACTTGACATAAACCAATGATCTTTTTTTTTTCCTTTTGGAATAATTTGCCTTCTCAGGTTAAGTGTTGGCAGATTAGACGGCAAACAAAGGCTCCTCAAGCTGCAGGGGCTATCCATACCGATTTTGAGAGGGGATTTATTTGTGCTGAGGTTATTTTTAGTTCATTATTATTTTGAACTCTTTTTTTTCCCCTTCCAAATTCTGATAATTCTTTCTTCCCAATCCCAACGGCTTGAAGCACGTGTTCAGGATTTTAACGGAGAACAGCCCACCAGGGGTTAATTAAAAAGAAAAAAGAATTTGCTGTAGTATAGCAGAGACATAGAAGGGGGGAATCATCTGTTGTTGCCACGATGACCTCTGTTTTTCTTTGGCTGAGAACTTTGTTCTTGCAGTGATTTTCCTATTGTAATTCTGTTTCATTCTTAATAGTCTTGTGGGTTTTGTCGATTTTCAGGTGATGAAGTTTGATGATCTAAAGGAACTTGGTAGTGAGGTGGCTGTAAAGGTGGGTGCTTAATTTGAACATGTAATTCACTGTGATGCAAACAACGTATGAGCATGCCTGAGCTTTTCTTTTGCGTGGCCGTTTTATTTTTTTCTTATTAGGCTGCTGGGAAGTATAAACAGGAGGGAAAAACCTATGTTGTCCAAGATGGAGACATCATATTCTTCAAGTTCAATGTCTCTGGTGGGGGAAAGAAGTGAAAGCAAGCAATCCATTTGTAGCAGCAGCTGGCTGTTTTGCTTTATTACCTGACAAGCCTCCCATTCTTGGCAGTTTGAGAGCTTGAGTTGTAATTTGGGAGAACATGTTGAACATTAATCGAGGTTAAGTATTTATAGGGGATATTGGTATTTTGCCCGGTTTGTTTGTTAGCCATATTGAGAGCTGTTATCTGCTCCACCGACACCACGCTGCTTTCTGCTTAAGGCGTTCTTCTTGGTGAGATTTTTGTTAAACTTAAAGAAAGAATAACAGCTTTATTAAAACAAAAAATAGGGCGCCACCCTTGGGTTGTTGGAGTTTTTGTGTGGCTTTGGTATCTCATCTTTGCTGTCATCAAAGCAAGCCTTCATGTTCACCAAAGGAAAAAAAAAAGCAAGCCTTCGTAACCTTATGGACATGTATTGTTGCGGTGTAGATGTGGACTGCATTGTTTGTACTTGGGCAATTCGATTGGAAATGGAAATACGCAGATGTATTAGCCAGAACAATTCAATTTTTAATATTATCTCTGCTTTTTAATATAAAAGTTGATTGACTAATTTAAGTATATTAAAAAAATTAGTTAAATTAGTTATTTGAAATAAATGTGTTATTTTACTTAGAATATTCTTACTAATTAAGTATCATTTGATTAAATATTTAACATGTGTAATTACTACAAAAACTATTTTGAAAAAATTAAATAAAGATGAGAGATAAGGTGGATAAAATTAAAAGTTAAACTGGTTTTTATATTGAGAATCGGAAGTAGTGAATTATTGAGAGAAGATATTTTTTTGTTTAGTCATTGGGCTAATGTTATGTTTATTAAATACATTTTGCGAGGTTTACAAAAACGGTTTGAGAAGAACACAATATTACACTGTCATATTTTTCAATTAAATGATATTTTCATTAATTTTTCAGCCAATTTAACAATAACTTCATGATAATTAAATTGTTTTAATCTAAGTTTTGAATTTAAAAATTTAATTTTCTATTTTTTCCTTAGTCACAGGGAAGGAACGAAGCTGTCATGTAATGCAATTTTTTATTTTTTTTTTGGGTTATACGTTTGGTTTTATGGAGCTACAAGATACGGATAAATGTAATTTAACTTGGTATGATACGTTGGACGCAAAATTTTAAAAATTCCATGATACAAATGATACACGTGTGTATGCATGCATAAGCATACTTGCAAATGCATGTCTTAAATTATTTAAAAATATATTTTTTGTTAGAATTTGAAGATAAGGGCAAAGTTGACAGATACATGTACCTAACTAAGCGTACATCTTTTTAATTCTTCTTTGTGTGTTACTGGATGGGAGCGATAACATTACTAGACATTTTTGTGATTAATGTGATGATCCTGTTTGGGTGTTGGATGCTGTTAGAACTTAGAATGGGGTTGTGTCGTTTTGGGAGGACCACTTATATATGATGCTGTCATTAGATAACAGGACAGTGGGGCCCACGGATCATCCCCTCTCCATCATCTCGCACCTACTCCCCCCTCACCTCCTGTCTCTTCTAATAATTCAAACCCGTCAAATCAATACCTATCTGGTTTTATTTATAACATATTTTTACTACTACATGTTTGTTTAGTCCTAATTATAAGACCTTAATCCATTTTATTTCTCATATTTATATATTTTTTTTCAAGACAGTCTTTCAAATAATCATAGTTCTAGCCAATACACTTAATTAACAAAGATATTTTAGAAATGACAACACATATTTATTACAAATAACTAACTTAACTTACTTCTTTAATCTTTTCAAATAAGTCAACTGGGTCTTATAATTAGGACCGGAGGTAGTATATTTTACACCGATAAAAAAAATCTTAAAACGTATTAATTCTTTATTAAAATATAATAATTTTTTAATTTTATCTATATTTAATATATACATATTTCAAAAAAAATAACTATCTATATTATAATAAATAAAGACAAAATAATACATTCAAGATAAAAATTTAATAAATTGATTTATAAATAAAATAAAAAAAACTTTTTTTCTATTCTATAAACAGGACTAGAAAAGTATATTCATATCTCATTAACATCAAAATATAGTCAGTCGAGTTAATATAAAAGGCTTACTCCCATTTTTAAGCTTCTAAATTAGATTTTTAAATTATCAATAAATGATAATAAGTGTCATTCCACTGAAAGATCCCATTATTTGGACTTTAATATTTTTTTCATTGGATTAAGACTACTTAACTTTTCTTACTTACAGTTCTAGTGATGTTTTTAAATATATGTCCAGATCATTTCAATTGATTTTTTAAAGTATTTTTTACTGATGTCACATCCATTTTTTTCACATGTAATAGTCGGCATATGAGCATATATGTATATAATAGAATTTAGGAGAAATTGCAGCAAAGTTCTAGATTTTGTTCAAAGTCCAAACTGAAAACCCTAGTCCACGGGGTAGTGGTGGGTCCTCGTTCCTATCCGCTGCTGATAGCACGACTTCCCACGCATGTGCTTTGCCATTTTGCCGGTTTGCAACTTATAAAACCCAAAATCTTTAACTTCATTTCATAAACTCTTTTCACGTCCACTAGGTAAAGCCGGAGATTCTCTGCCTTCTTGGCGGGTAAAAACCCCTACTTTGCTCCTAGAATCGCAGCAAAAATGAAAAAACCCTAACATTTTCCCGCTTTTCCGATTGCCACTTCCTGACAAAAAACCCCTCAAAAGGATGAAATGAATGGCAACTTTTGTTAATAAACATTTAAAAATGAAAAAGGTGACATTTTTAATAAACTTTTCAAAATCTAATCTAAATAAGTGTTAAGGGTCCTCACATGTCACATGCCTTTTATGATACATGAGTAGAAAGGGAACAAAGGTGTCTCTTGAAAAGTTTTATGCTTTTGTCGTCAGTTGTCACCACCATTAAAGCTCAATTCTCGGGTTTTTTTTTGTTACTTGTTTTCTGGGTCAAAAAATGTCAACATTTTCATCAAAACCTCGAAGAAAAAAACTTTACGGGTCCCTTCACTCCCCCACTCTCCCTCTTTTTTCTTTTTCCTTATTTTTTTCCCCGGTGACTGGTCCCTGCCCTTTACTGCTCTTAAATGTGTCTTATTGGAACTATTTCCCCCTTTCTTTCTTGCCGAGTTCGCTGTAGCTACAATGCTGGTCTCTACTTCAGTTCTGGAACTGCACAAGCTTTACCGAGTTCTCCCTTTTGCTTCCTAAGTTTTGATGTTTGAGTGGTCATTTCAAGTTCATCCTGATTCCGCACTGTGCCAAGGAAGTGATTTTGGTAAGAAATTTTGCGTTTTGTTTTCGTTTTGTTTCTGTCGATGTTTAAAATACCCCTCCTTTTTATTGTTCATTCTAGACCACTCCTTTTTATTGTTCATTCTAGGTCATTAATGTTTAATCGTACTTCCCGCGTCTAGTGATTGTTTCTGCAATAGCTTTACTCTACATGCATCCTTTGCTTGGAACCTTTGGTTCTATATAGATATAATGTAATGTTGCTGACCAGGAGAAGCATTTGGATTTCATTACTTACATCGTGTCTGGGTTTTTCATTTCATTACTAATATCTTCTTTTCATTCCTAGGAAGCAGCTCATGTTCGTGAAGAGAAAGTCTTGGTTTCTTTTGTTTCGACTGTAAAGAAGTGTTTGACTTAGTGTGTGGATTTGAGCTCCACGGCTCATTAATCTTCTTTTACGAGGTTGAGATTGCTTCTATAACCATTGGCGCTTCCTCATTATAGTGGAAGAAGGTACCCTGGCATCTAATTTGTCCAGGGAGATAGTGGGTCTTGAAGCAAGATATCTGTTTGAACAAGAACCTTGAACTATATCTGAGTTGGCATTACGTCATTTATTGGAGAAAATGAAGCTCTTTAGTCTTTTGGTTTTATCCTTATCTTTCTTCTCTGTCATGGGACAGCTTCCTTCGCAGGACATCTTAGCATTGTTGGAATTTAAGAAAGGCATCAAGCATGACCCTACTGGTTATGTCCTCAATTCCTGGAATGAAGAATCCATTGACTTTAATGGATGCCCATCTTCATGGAATGGAGTTCTGTGTAATGGTGGTAATGTTGCTGGGGTTGTCCTAGATAGCCTGGGTCTCTCTGCTGAGGCAGACTTGAGTGTTTTTTCAAACCTCACAAAGCTTGTCAGGCTTTCTTTGTCCAACAATTCCATATCAGGAAGACTCCCTGACAACATAGCAGACTTCAGAAGTCTTCAATTTCTAGATGTGTCCAATAACCTTTTCTCTTCATCCATACCACAGGGAATCGGTAAGCTAGCTAGCTTACTGAACTTGTCATTGGCAGGGAACAATTTCTCTGGTCCAATTCCTGTCTCAATTGCGGGGATGTCATCAATCCAATCTTTGGACTTGAGCCGTAACTCCTTTTCTGGAACACTGCCAGCTTCTTTGACTAAGCTGAATAGCCTGGTATCTCTCAATTTGTCTCATAACAGCTTCACTGGAAAGATTCCCAAAGGCTTTGATCTGATGTCTGCTCTTGAAAAGGTTGACTTGCATGGAAATATGCTTGATGATCAACTAGATATTAAGTTTATGCTTTTAACAAGTGCCAGTTATGTTGATTTTAGTGATAACATGTTAGTGAGTTCTAACTCCCGGCAGCAGAGGTTTCTACCCCGAATCTCTGAAAGTATCAAGTATTTGAATTTAAGCCACAACCAGCTGATTGGATTGTTAGATAGTGAAGGTGAGCAGCCACTTTTTGAAGACCTGAAGGTGTTGGATCTTAGCTACAATCAATTGTCAGGAGAACTGCCTGAATTTGAATTTGTCTATGATCTCCAAGTCCTCAGGCTTAGCAACAACAGATTTTCAGGATTTCTTCCAACTGGCCTGCTCAAGGGAGACCCTTTGGTTATAACCGAACTTGATTTGAGTGCCAACAACCTCTCAGGTAGATATACAAGTTCTACTTGTTCCTTCATTTTAAATAATTAATCTATGATATTTTACTTTCAAAACTGGTGGGCACTGCCATCTCTGGACAGTCCATTGCTAGGATTGCCACTCATCTCATTGAAATTTTGTCACAGGGTCAATAGGGTTGATCACATCAACAACATTGCGCTCTTTGAATCTCTCATCAAATGGTTTCACTGGTGAGCTGCCACTTCTAACAGGGAGCTGTGCGGTTCTTGATCTTTCAAATAACAAACTAGAAGGGAATCTATCCAGGATGGTAAAATGGGGAAATATAGAATTTCTTGATCTCAGTAGAAATCATTTGACAGGGCCCATTCCTGAGAAAACTCCTCAGTTTTTACGACTGAATTATCTGAACTTCTCCCATAATGCTCTTAGTGGCTTCCTCCCCAGAGTCTTAATGCAGT